GCTTTTACTTTTCCTTTCTGCTTCTTGGGAGATGGTGTAGCATCTTCTTCACTATCGCTCACCACAATTCGCGACCTCTTCACCTTCGGAGGAGACTTCACCGGAGAAGGTGTGACTGACTTTATTGCGCCTTTCGATGCTTTCTTCGGAATAAAATCCTCATCGGAATCTAAAACAGGCAATAAACAGCAACAAAATCTGAAAGTAGTTCTTCAAAAATACGGTTCAAAACCGATCAACTAATGGAAACAATACAAGATGACTGAATACTAAAATACAAGTTGCTTACCCGAAACCACAAGCGCTCGTGAACGTTTCTGCTTCAAGGCTTCTTTGCGCAGTGACGCCGGTATTGGTGATTCACCTTCGGCTAAAACCAGCTCACGTGAGTACAACAATAAGCAAACAGTTTGAAGAAGAAACATAGGGTGTTGTTCAATCTTGCTGGCGTGCCACTTCCGCTTCATAGTGATAAGGCCTATAAATGACTCTGATACATTGGAACCAATCGAAAAACAACTTATGTTCCCACCACTAAGCGTATTAGGCACCAATCAGTCAAACCCGGAGAGTATGACATTTATTTGGTCAGGAGAGGGTTCGAGCCGGGAGTCTATGCAATGTGAGAGGCTTTCGGTTGCGTAACATTCAAGACTCTCTGACCTCAGTCACTCCTCGTTTTTTTTCCCGAGGTTTAGACGAAATAACACAAGCGAAGCGCTCGTCCTTCCCGGAATCCCTCTCTGCAAGAATTGGAATTGTAGTCGACACGAACTACTGTATCAAAATCTCCCCTCTTTTTGGAATAGACTTGAGCTGGAATTTGACCCACTACGTGGTGAGAGTTACTTCCTATTTGGTACTTTCCACTACTGATTGCCATCGAAAGCATCAACACAGGAAACAAACATTATTATGCGATCAACTGCCCTTACGACAATGGCAGGGGATTCTGCAAGAGAGAGGGACGGGATAATGAACATTTTAAAGGACGTACAGTCATCGCTCTCGCTCAAGTCCACAACTGCGACCGCAGCCTTCTTCGGTTTCTTTGCCTTTCTTTGCCTTCGGCTCGGATTTGTTCGGAACCAATTTATCGGACCTCTTTTTGGTCTCCGAGGTGGAGTTGAAGGAGCTGCCTTTCGAATTGCTGATAGCGCACTTGAACCGGACGAACTCTCTTGATTGCCACTTTTCTTTCCACCGAAGAAACTCCTTATGTCCTTAAAACACATTTTAAATTTGAAAACCACAATCAGGAACCTTCACACTTGCTAGAGGAAGTTTTACATAAAGTTTTTTTTTCTAAAAGTTGAGGTTCATATTGTAAATTATTATGATTGCGGGATTCCGAGAAAAAAACTGGTGCTGAAACCGAGCTACCACTACACTACTGAAACAGGAGTGAACAATAGATATTATCGAACCGTGACTCACCATTCTACAAGAAACTGTTCTTCAGTGAAAAGAAACGTCCGTAGAAATTGTGAGTGCGGGCAGAATTTCAAATAGCCGCCAAAAACAGCTACCCGCAGGAAAACTCGTCCGTCACCAGAATACCAATCTAGGTTTGTTTTATAGCCACTTCTCAAAATATCCAGGATATTTCTTAAAAAAACCGAATTCCCTTGATCACAGGTAGCTGGCCATTGTTGTGCTTAGCCCTGCGGAACTGTGCCCTGAAAAAAAAGATAAGGATGCAGTGATAGAGCTTCCCAACGGCAAAAGTTCCATAAGATGTTGGTAACGTGAGAAGGAGGCCATCCTTGAAAAGATGTTCATTTTTCTATGGGTTAAAAGTGTTTGTATGGTTTTTGGAAGCACTTCGATGATGCAAACTAGCCCGAAACAACGCTGCGGTGAAGGGGTGTGGCCAAGACTACTCGGTGAAGACGAGTTTCCTGTAGCAGCGAAAATGCAAGCTTGGCATTTGTTTTTTGAAGGTTTGAAAACTGTGAATCTCTCTGGATACTCTCGATTTCTGAAGACTTTATGCGTCTGACTACAATGCAAACGACAAAATTTTAGCTTGCCGTCTAGCGAAATGTTGGCTCTGCCGCACGTCAGCTTTTGCGTCAAACAACTGCCGTTGTTTATCTTTTGGGGCTTGCTTATTACTTTTGCGTGTGCTAACTAGCAAGTGCAAAGCTATCGATCGAGTATTCAATACTCTGAACTTTCGGCATAGTTTTGGTTCTTTTTCTGTTAGGTTAGCGTTGTTGATTGATTCTTCTAGTTCCCTTTTTTCTTTACTTTAAACTATTTCTGAATAATATATGGGCATTTCTCGCAAGTATTTCACTTTTTTTTTGATCTTTAGGTCGCATTTAGTAAGAGGGGGGCATGTGGTGTGACAGTTCTTGCCGGCTACAGAAATTTCCAATTTTTGCAAGGGGAGGGAATCCCCGGGGTGCGTGAACCATTTCGCTTAACTTTTACACCCACCCCGGAGCTTTCCTCCCTTGGAAAAAGTGGGTTATTTCACGCACTACATCCCACCCCACTTGCTGGATGAGACCCTAATCTTCTCCACTTTCATCATTGCGCTAATCACTCGGATTATAGGTTTTTGAAGGACACACGTACTCGTGTTGTAGTTCTCATGTTGATGGTTGTCACT